GTAAGGATGTAGTTATCGTCACAAGTACGGAATTCAAAACATTTTTATTTTAAAGATTTTTTTAGCCGGGTTAAAAAAAAAAAAAAAAAAAAGAGTAAGAATAGTGAGAAAATTTTCAATCCATCGCCATTTTTTTTTAAATTAATATTTTCGAACCGACCATGGAGGGGGAAATTTTTTCTAGTGCTCTACGAGATTGTTAATAACTTTGTAATAATTAAATATTTTTTAATAAAAATTTAGGGTAATAATCTTTAATGTACCCTTAATAAAATAAAAAAAAATCCGATCCCTAAATTCCTTTATTTTCCCTGTCAAAAAAATTCCCGAAAATCACCTCTTTTTTTCGATCGTCACAGTGGTGTTCCTCCTTAAGAACTCTACAAATTTTTCATTTTTCAAATTTTCTTTCCGAATTATTTTTTTTCTATAGCCTCGTGTCCTTCTAGAAACAAAAAAACGATCATTCCCGTATGTACAATAGTTTTCGAAATATTAAGAAAATAAAGTTAAAAAATAGCAAAATTTTGAATGACTCGAAAAAAATTCTTTTTCTTTCGCAAATCTTTGTTTTATGATAAAAGAAAATTTTTGACCAAATTTCGTCCAAATTGCAAGGGGTCGATTCCAACTATTGATTGATCTGACATGAATAAAAAAATTACAAAATACAGTTGACACAGCAGGGTGACCCTAAAACTTTTTGATTTACATAAATCAAACCTAGGTCTATAATTTTTTGAATTTTCGAAACTTTATGATATATGTAGATTGAGAAATTTTATTTCTTTTTTCAAATATACTTGTTTTTTGATGCTTACATCAAATATAATCAGAATTATAATTTTTCACTCTATTTTAAAAATATTCAGATTATGCATTATAAATAATAGATATCGATAATTTATGTGAGGCATTAATATTATTATTACTAATAATTTATTATTTTACGAATGCAATTGATCGAACTTCAATCACAGATGATATTAGTGAGTTCCTTCGAAATCTAATGTTTAGGATCTAAAAAAATGGTTTTATTTAGAATATACTTAGTTTCCACTATTCTGAAAACAATTTAAAATTATTGTCAAATTACAAATTAACTTTTTGTTTATAGATATTTTAAAACACCGTCTTAGTATTGTAACATACTCAGGAAGACGAGGAAGAAGGCCGTTCTTCGGTCGAAATGGAAATTTAATATGTGATAATATTGGTGAGTTTTTATCGAATGTATTGATTCAAAGACTTACTATACACGTGTAATAATATAATTATCTTATACTTCTTTTGGTTAAACAGTTCGGATTATTCAAGGTCGTGAAAATTCTGGACCTTTAAATCGAAGAGAGGCAATCCCACCTAAATTTTATTCCAAACTACAATTATATCGTCATACGTTAGGTCATTTGTCAGCAGTTTACTGTGTTTTATATGATCGAACAGGAAAATACATCATTACAGGAGCTGATGACTTACTTGTTAAAGTATGGAGTGCAATTGATGGTCGATTGTTTGCCACTTTTCGAGGGGCTTCATCAGAAATAATGGATATAGCTGTAAATTTTAATAATACGCTTTTGGCGGCGGGAAGTTTGGATCGGATCTTACGAATTTGGTGCTTCCAAACAATGTCACCAGTAAGTATTTTTTTCTCATGGATTGTATTTAAAAAACACTCAATTTATCAAATATTAAATGTATTTTGCAAAAATACTACTATTGATATATGATAATTCTTTGTGAAACATTTAAAATGAATTATTTTTGTAAAATATTAAGATGAAAAATCAATAACAGAATTTCAAAATTTTTGATACTAAAATTTGAGTGAAGTGAAGACGGTCAGAAATTCATTTATATTAATATCTGTAAAATAAAAAAACAAGGTGATCCTACAGGCCATCTAAAAACTTCCCATTATTTTCGGGCTCGTAGAGTTTGAAAATGTAATCCAATTATTATTAAGCTCTTCGAAACTTAAGGAAATCCTTTCGCTCCAGTTGAGTCAAAACAATTGTAGTAGTCAATATACGATAAATTAAAATAAAAAACCCATAAAAATTCCTAAAATTAAATAATAAATAGTATATGAGGCATTAATCGTTGAAATTTTGAAAAAAAAAAAAAAAAAAATAGTTAAATACAAAAATTAATTTGACTCTTTCAAATCAACTGCTAGTAACCTGTCCGTAATTTGGCAACGCTGTACTTCGGTTGTTTACATTTTCCACGGAGCTTAGATAGATCTATCTAAGCTCCGTGACATTTTCATTTGCACAATATAACCTTAACCACGTTTAAGTTTTTGCAGTCAGAGTAAATAAATAAATTAGTTTGA